GGCCTGAATACCCACTGGAGGGACCCTGAATAGCTGGCGGGCGGTAAGTACTCTCTGGAATAGCACTAAAGTAGGGTCGTGCTGGAGCACTCTGAGCAGGCGGTGGTCCTGTCTGCATGGGCCTACTAGACCAACCCCTTATGAACTGACCTCTGCCCCCCAGGTGGGGCACCACTGGATCCTCCAAACTACCAGGGCCGCTTGTCCCTCAATGTGAACTCTACACTACGATTGAAAATACGCTCGATCCTCCAAGTTATATCCACAACCTAATGAAAGGGAGTCCTCACCTCTGCCTCACATGCCATATATACCTGAATCTCAGGGTGCAGACCTACAATGAACCTCCGCACCCTCTTTGCGTATGTGGTGAGTATAATAGCTGAATGGCGAGGTAAGTCAGTGAATCTTTCACCTTAGTCAGTCACAGACATATGACCCTGACGGAATCGCTCTAACTGACCCCGAAGCTCCTCTCTCTCAAAAGGTGGTATGTACTTCTCCAAGAATAGATGCATAAACTGATCCCAAGTCAAGGGAAGTGAACCCGCTGGCCTGCTAAGAAGGTAAGCCTGCCACAATCTCCGGGCCTTACCCTCAAACTGAAAGGTGGTGAAGTCCACCCCGTTGGACTCCAATATCCCCATGTTCCGTAGCCTATCCTTGCACCGGTCAATGAAATCCTGGGGGTCCTCTAACCGCTCACCCCCAAAGTTTGGGGGGCGAAGTCTAGTCCATCTGTCCAGCTGCTTCTACTGATCAACGTTCGCGACTGGTACAGCCTCTGGCACATCCGTTGTAACTAGTTGGGCTCCATATACAGGTAGTGCACCTAGGGTCTGATAAACGGCAGCAGCGTGCTCTGGAGCATGAGCAGTAGGGGTTGTGCTCCCCCTCCTGCTTGAGATGTGGCAGGGTCCACTGGAAATAAACTAGCATGTGTCATAGAGTCCATGAACCGCAACATACGGCCCATGACCTCCTGGAATCCCGGTGCAGTCATGAAATTTGCTGGGGCTCGCACAGCTATAAGCGGCCCATCCTGCTCCTCAATAACAGGGTCCTCCACTGGATCCACTGGTGGTACCACGAGAGCAACTCTAGGACGTCCTCGGCCTTTGACAGGACCTGGAGCCCTCCCCGGCCTCTGCCTCGGCCTCTAGCAAACGGGGGAGCAACTCTTCTACCGCCTGGTACATCTGTCGCGCGCGTTCTCACCATGTGTGAGATATCAACAGAAAGATACTTATCACAATATCAATTGCACGATAGGAGATGAAGAAAAAGAAGTTTCCTAACACCCCATAGCCTCTCAAAAATAAGTATGGATGTCTCCGCACCGATCCGTAAGACTCCACTAGGCCTACTCATGACTCGTGAGACCTATGTGAACCTAAAGCTCTGATACCAAGTTGTCACAGCCCAAAATCCATAAAGGTTGCGATCGCACCAAACACCGCCGTTAGGCAAGCCCACAAGTGAAACTAGTATTTATTTACCCCTTTTATCATTTAAAACAAAAATTTTCCTTTTAAAAGAACAAAATAATTAAGATCTCATGCAACCGTAGCTACTCTTTTCTTAACAAAATACCAGCATAATAAGTACATCCACTGTAGTGATAGGAATGATAAGTATAGCAGTACATAAATGCTTAAAGTCCACAAAATCTGGCACCACAAGTACACGAGCAATCTAGAGAATATACAAAACTACTACAACTACTGTCTGAAAGTGATAAACATAAATAATAAACAAGTTAGAGGGACACTTTGGTGCTGCAGATCGTAGCAAGGAAAGTAGCTTACCACTAAGTCTCCGTAGATGATCGGCTACGCGCCCGCGTGATCACTGGTAGTACCTGCCTTAGTACCTACACATTCGGTGCAAAAGTGTAGTGTGAGTACGGAAAACAACGCGTACCCAGTAAGTATCTAATCTAACATTGAAGAAGTAGTAACGAGGAGTCGACTTGACACTTACTAGAGGTAAAATAATAATATAGATGCATAAAGTAAACATGGTGGGTGTACAACAAGAAGCAACGAAGCAAATAAAAGTAAACTATAGCAAATCCACTCATGAGTCTATATCAAATCACTAAACATATCTTAACCGGCGTGAAGGTGCTAACTCAATTATTACCAAACCAAATCCACTTCTGATTATTGAGCACGAAGCTGCCAAGGCGAACGGCCTGATCCCATAAGAATGGTGTTACCAACCTGCCAAGGTGAACAGCCCGATTCCATAAAAGTAGTGTTACCATCATGCCGAGGCGAACGGCCCAATCCCATAAGAGTAAGTTATACCACTGTCGAGGAGAATGACCCTATCCCATAAAAATGGTGTTACCAACCTACCGAGGCGAACAGCCTGATCCCATAGGAGTAGTGGAATTTACCTCGCTCATGGAAGCATCTGCGAGACTAGAAGACACGGATCTATAGTTTATTAAATATTTCTGAACTTTACCAAAGTAGAGGCTAAGCCGATATCTTTATTAAAAACCTTTATCTCAGTCAAAATCAAGAAAATTCATATACATGATAGGCATAAATAGACAATTAAAGGCATGATGTTAATCTAAGTCTACCCGGACATATCATGAATATAGTTATGTACGGACTCCCGTCACCTCGTGCGTACGTAGCTCCCCACAACAAGTAGCACACAATAATTATTACACGTAAGGGGATAAATTCCCTTTTACAAGGTTACGCAAGAGACTTACCCCAGTTCCAAGTCATCAATCCGGCTCCTCAACCTCACTAGAACTACTCAAACGACGCCGAGTACTCCGAACCTAACCAAAAGTCGTATAAACTAATTAATATATGCTCAAAAGTTCGTAATTTAGCTATTAGAGTAATTACCCAACCTAATTTGGAATATTCTTAAAATTTACCCCCAGTCCCACGTGCCCAGATTTCGGAAATTTTCGAATATAAATGTCACTCATGACCTCACAAACACAAATATATAATTTATTCCCAATTACATAATCAATTTCTGTAGACAAATCTTATTTTTACCAAACCCTAGGTTCTAACAAGCCGAGTCTAGGAAAGAACGAAGGGACAACGTCAGAAGGGACCACCCGGTCTCACGACCCAATAGGGAATGACACCAGCCATACACTAGGGCACCCATCGCACCTTCCCTCCGCTATGAAGAAGGCCCGTCCAGGCCAAGGATTGGGACTCACCGAATCGAGAGAGATATGCCCCTTATTATCTACTCACAATTTTTGCGTGTCACCTGCAGAAATAGTCTATGTTCTTGAGAAGCTCGGAACAAAGGTAAAGTGGCCGCCAAAGATGAGATCCGATCCGAACACCAAAAAATCCGACACCCTTTATGAGTTCCACCAGGAACGTAGGCACAAAACAGAAGATTGCATCGCCCTCAGACAAGAATTCATAAACATGTTGCGGCAGGGACACCTCAAAAAGATATTAAGTGACAAGGGGAGGAATAACTTCGCCAGAGAACGTGAACACCAAGGCCCGCCAAAGCCGCTATCACTATCTCGTACTATCAACATGATCATCGGTGGCAGTGACGACACCTCTATCAACATCGTAAAGTTTACCACCACTCACAAGCTCAAGCGGTCTATCACCTGCGAACGGTACGACGGACTCGAAGAAAGTATCATCTTCGACGAGTCGGATGCCAACGGTTTGACATTCCCTCATAATGATGCCCTTATCATTACTTTACGCATTTTAGATACCGATGTCAAACGTGTCATGGTGGATGATGGAAGTAGAGCGTGCATTATCCATCCCCGAGTCCTTACCCAAATGAGACTCGAGGACAAGATAATGTCGCGCTGCATCACACTAACCGATTTTAATAATGCAGTTGAGCGGACGTCAGGGGAAATTACACTTCCCGTCTTGGTCGGCGGCATGACTTTAGAGATGACATTCCACATCATGGACCAGGCTACCGCGTACAACGCCATAGTGGGACGACCATGGATACATCCCATGGGAGTCATGCCATCCATCTTAAACAATGTAATTATATTCCCAACACCATGGGGGATATTCAGCATACGCGAAGAACAACGCACGTCACGGGAATGCTACCGCATTGCCTTAGATAGCACCGCAACCCAACAGAAAAAAAACAAAGAAAAAGAGGCATAGCAATCAACAGGGTCGAGGTCGACGTAAAGACGTCGACCCCGTTCCACCATAGAAATGGCCGAGGCTGCGAATTTGACCATAGAAGACCTCGACCCCGTTCAATTGGACCTCAATGACCATATCAAAAAGGTCTACATCGGCTGCAAACTCCGGGAACCAGGTAAATTCAGTCAATTCTTAATAACTAATGTAGATTTATTTGCCTTCAGCCATGCAGATATGTCGGATATCCCAAAGAAAATAGCCACACACAAACTAAATGTCGACTCATTCCACCCCTAGTAAGACGGGTCAGGCGTAAACTCAACCCCACCATCAACGATGCAGTCCACGAGAAGGTGGAGAAACTATTAGAGAATGGCTCCATCAGGGAGTTGAAGTATCCTAAGTGGATCGCTAACGTAGTGATGGTCAAAAAGAAAAATGGGGAATGACGGATGTGTGTGGATTTCACAGACTTGAACAAATCATGTCCGAATGATTCGTTCCCATTACCCCACATCGACCAACTCATCGACGCAATAGCCGGGCACGAGCTACTGAGCTTCTTGGATGCGTACTCAGGCTATAACCAAATACTAATGGAGGAAGAAGACCACGTCCATCAACCACCAAGAAATGTATTGTTATATGTTTATGTCGTTTGGGTTGAAAAACGCGGGAGCTACATATCAAATATTGGTCACAAAAGTGTTGAAAGACCAGCTCGGCAAGACCATGGAAGTGTATATATATATATATATATATATATATATATATGATATGTTGGTCAAATCCGTAAAGGCAGAGGATCACATCGATCATTTGAAGGAAGCTTTCGACATTTTAAGACAGTACGAAATGAAACTGAACCCGGAGAAATACGCGTTTGGCATAGCCTCGGAAAAGTTCTTGGGTTTCTTGGTATCGCAACGGGGGATCGAGGTCAACCCAGACCAAATAAAAGCTATCGACGGGATACAGGAACTCTTGACTATCAATAAGCAAGTCCAAAAGTTGACTGGTCGGATCGTCGCTCTATCAAGATTCATCCAGCGATCGTCTGATAGATGTCACAAATTTTTTTGCGTACTCAAACAGGACAATCGCCTCGAATGGAATCCCGAGTGCGTTCAGGCTCTGCGAGAACTGAAGGCATACCTATCATCACCACCCCTGCTTTCAAAATCCGAAGCTGGGGAGCAACTCCTCGTCTATCTATCCATCTCAGAAGTAGCGGTAAGTGTAGCCCTAATCCGCGAAAACAAAGGTACGCAATCTCCCATCTATTACATTAGCAAAACTCTCATTGACACAGAGACGAGTTACCTGCTCCTCGAAAAATTGGCTCTGGCATTTCCCAGAGCTTCACGAAAGCTTAGACCCTATTTCCAGTTCCACCCCATCTCGGTCGTTACAAATTTTCCCCTGAGGATTATTTTGCATAAACCCGAGCTATCGGAGAGCTGGCCAAATGGGCCATCAAGCTAAGTGAGCATGATATCACATACCAACAGTGAACGGCGATAAAGTCACGGGTGCTCGTCGACTCTGTCACCGACTTCAGTGCAAAAATGATGCCTCAAGTCGAAAAGGAAGTCGTACAAACTTCCCTCCAAACATAAGACCTCTGGGTCCTATACACCGATGGTGCATCCAACGTATCAGGCTCCGGACTGGGACTTGTACTCAAGGTCCCCATAGGCGAAGTAATTCGTCAGTCCATAAGGTGCACAGAAATGACTAACAACAAGGTCGAGTATGAGGCGATAACTGCAGGATTGAGGCTAGCACTCAAGTATGGGGCGAAGCGGTTGAAACTCCGATGTGATTCCCAGCTCGTAGTAAAACAAGTCATAGGGACTTTACAAATCAAGGAACAAAGGTTGCAAAAATATCAGACCGGGATCTACAAGCTACTACCTAAGTTTGACGAATGTCGGCTCGACCAGATCCTGCGTGCGCAGAATGTCGAAGTGGACGGCCTTGCAAAATTGGGTGCAGCCACCAAAAGCATCACTACTGGGGATAAAAGCGTAGTCCACCTCCTCAACTCATCACTAGACCAAATCAAGGTAAGAACCATAAACTTAACTTGGGATCAGCGCAATCGTATTATCGCCTATTTGCAGGCTGGCACACTCCTATACGATAAGAAAGAAGCCAAGAAACTAAGAATGCAAGCAGCCAGATACAATCTCCTTCATAGCAACTTATACAAGAGAACTTATGGTTGCCCTCTAGTGAAGTGTCTGGGCCCAAACTAGACCCATCGCGTCCTCGAAGAAGTCCATGAAGGCTATTATGGTGCTCACTCCGGCAATCGAGCACTAGTCAGATGCCTCACACGGGCAGGATATTATTGGCCTACCATGAAAAAGGACACCCCAGACTTCCTGAGAAAATGCGAACAATGCCAAAAGTACGCCCCAATGATTCACCAAGCAGGTGAACACCTCCACTCAGTCACCTCCCCATGGTCGTTCAACAAATAGGGAATGGACATAGAAGGCCCCCTCCCAGCAGGGCGAGATAATATACGATTCCTTTTGGTTTTAACTGACTATTTATCTAAATGGGTGGAAGCATGAGCGTTCGCCCAAATACGAGAACAAGAAGTAATAACCTTTATATGGAGGAACATCATCTATCAATTCGGCCTACCCAAGGAAATCAGCTTTGACAACGGACCCTAGAGAAAACCACTGAATTCTTTGAGAAATGGCATATCAAGAGGATACTTTCAACTTTGTACCACCCAGTAGGTAACGGACAAGCAGAATCCTCCAATAAGTCCATACTAAACATCATAAAGAAAAAGCTCGATGATGCCAAGGGACTATGGCCGAAAATATTGCCAAAAGTATTATGGGCATACCGAACAACTATGAAGACGAACACAGGAGAGATGCCCCATTCATTGGTCTATGGGACTGAGGTAGTAATATCGGTCGAAGTCGGAGAACCCAAACTAAGGTACTCCCACGAAAGCGGTACGAGCAACGAAGAGAGCAGAAGGCATGAACTCAACAAAATCGGTGAACGAAGAGATATGGCATACATAAGAACTGTCGCCCAAAAACAACAAGCATGACGTTATTACAACAAGAGAGCAAAGGTTCGGCCGCTTAAAGTCGGGGACTACGTGCTGAAATCCAAAACTCAAGCGAGCAAAAACCCCCGGGAAGGCAAGCTGGGAACAAACTGGGATGGTCTGTACAAAATCACAGCCAAAGCAAACAAGGGTTCATTCCAACTAGAGAAAATGGAAGAAAAGCAACTACCAAAAAATTGGAACATCATCCACCTCAAATACTTCAACTTCACAGAGAAAAAGTGTTCCCCAAGTCGTACTATTTTTCCCTTTCTTGAGTTTTCTCCTATTTGGGTTTTCTCAAGGAGGTTTGCAATGAGGCGGCGAAGGGAACACTTAACGAATCAAAGTACGCGAGGGAGGGACTGTTGTTATTCTTTCATTGCTCGACTCCTCAATACTCTCTAAGTCAAACAATGAAAGAACTAGGTAGACTGGGAATAAGACTGGAACGCCAGCCAATATCCAAAATCTGTAACTCTCTCCAAGTATGTAACCAAAGCAACAATATTGAAGTAATAAGAATCTTACGTTTATCAGGACACATTTTTGGTATTAAGGTTATGTTCGACCGCGCTCGAACAATACCTACAAGCCCTAGGCCACGATTTAAATAAAAAGTTATGTTTGAGCTTGCTCGAAAAAACACCAATCGGTCCTTAGCCACGAATACGAAAAGGTTACGTTTGACCTCGCTCGAACAAACACCTACCAGCCCTCGGTAGCGATTAAACAAAAAGTTTATGTTCGACCTCGCTTGAACAAACACCTACCGGCCCTCGGTCACAACTTAACAAAAGGTCAATATCGACCAAGTTCAAACAACACCTATCGGCCCTCGACCAAATCTCAACGAAGAAACACACTCGACCTATATAAACAAAGGGCTGATATGACCCATGAATATTTGGCTCCAAGGCCACGACCAGCTGAAAGACAACAATAATGAGAAGGACAAAAAGCAAAACGAGCAAACAACAGAAGCAAAAAATATACAAGTACAGAAAAGTAAACCAAATGAATGGAAGAAGATGCAAGGAACGACTTTGATATTTCATATTTAAGTTTTTTACAAAAGGCTCTTGAAGACACCGGTAAAAATACACAAAAAAGTTAAAAAGAAAACTATTGTCCATTGCCATTGCGGCCTTCAGTGCCCTCACCAGCTCGGTCTTCAACAGCATCACCACCCTGACCACCGATATCCTCACCATCTCGGCCCCTAGCGCCCTCTCTATCCTCGCCCGGAGGGTATATGGAATCATACCAGGCCTCGTCCTTGAGGCAATCTATAGCATCCTCATCGCCCTCATCTTCCTCACAAGGATGAGGAGTAGTCGGATCATAACCACAAGCAATCCAAGCCTCGCTAGCCTTGACATGAGCACCCTCGAAGTTCGCAGCAAAAACGGAGCCCACTATATGTAACACGCGAAGCACATCCAGCCGGGCTTCAGCATGAATCCACTCTACATACAAGTCACAAGGAATGTTGGGGAAACCAGAAGCCGCATGAATCCACTCTACATAATAGGTCTATTTCTCCAACTCCCCAATCCTTTCATCGAGGCGCTCCTTTTTAAGCCTTGCCGTTGACAAGTCATTTTCTCGCTTGAAATAGAGAGTTCAGATCACCACCTCAAGGGACTCTGTCTTCCTCAAAGCCTCTGACCGAGCGGGCTCTGCCTTCTCTAGCTCCTCCATCTTTTTGGCGACCTCGCCACTAAGAGCATCTGCCCTAAATTGACACTCCTCAAGCTGGCCTCGCAGCGAGACTAACTGGGGTTGGAGATCACTGCATTGAGCTTCTACCCCCTGCTAAGCTTGATCTCTTCCTCTTTAGTCCTCAACGTCCCTTCCAGGACACTACACTTCCCAACTACCTGCACCCGCTCCTTGTCTCTTTCCTTTAAGTCCTCCCTCAGTTGGCGCACATCGCCGCTTTCGCAAAGCTAGCACCGGAGCTCCCAGTATTTCTCAAGGCATTTGAAGTACTTATCCTTCAACTTCACATAAATATCTTTATGTCTCTTCTCCCTACGAGCACTTTAAATCCCCCGGACGACCGTCTGTAAAACAAACGAAGGGAGTTAGAGCCTACAAAAGAGCAAAACATAAGGAAAATAAACATACAGAAAATGTACTTACCCAAAGGGCGAGACCAGCAATGTTATTTGACAGGGTACTATCATTCATAGTTTCGAGGGTCGTACCCTCAATTTCAGAACAAAGAGGGTCGAGGGAGGGGACTATCTCCTCGGTGTTCAGAAAAAGGTTACGATCCATCGAGATCGCAATAGTCCTTGAACCCCCTTCTAACCTCACTTCGAGTTGAGTTAGCCCATCATCGATCATCCTCAACTCGTCTATATCCATGTGGGAGTCAGATCCAACATCCCCCTCAGCAACAACCTTCCTTTTATCACCATTCGAAGGAACGCCCATCGTAACCCCAAAAGATGAGGCCTCATCGCGCCCTTGAAGAGTAGGGCCGTCATTTCGCACCACGCCCTCGACCGCGTCCCCCGCAGGATGGATGTTCGTTTCCTCCAAGTGAGGGACCTCGAGACTTGCCTCAAGGCTCTCTCTAATATGTATCGTGACCGTTTCTCGAAGGACAAAGCCACAACCTCCCACATCAATGGCCGTCGGCCCCTCTCCCCCCGTATCCACGGCTCTCCTCTTGCGAGGCATTATACCATCGTCTTTAGGAGAGATGTCATCCTCATCAACTAACAAGTAGAGTTGGGGAGCAGGAGTTGCAGATGGAACGGAGATGGGCTCCTGAACTACAGCAACAAAAGTTGAGACTGACATAGATGATGCAGTGATTGCAATACGAGCTGAAGCCGACAATGCAGCGGCCGCCTTTCGGAAAGAGGGCACTGGTGCCCGGCTTCTCCGAGAACCCCTGCCTGAGAAAAAATAGCATTAAGTCAGTAAAACGAATCCATACCCAATGGGAAATGGAGTAGCCACGATCTAGGAAAGGAAATTACCATTCGAAGCAGGGCTGGCCCAAATTTCTTGAAAAAACTTGGCCAATCACAAATCCCTACGATGTTAGGGAGGAACCGCTCAACCCAATCAGAAATATGAGCATCCATAGGAGCAGGCGAGGTCTTGGCTGCAAAAGAAGAAGGCGAGAAGTCAGAATTCAGGACCGAACACGGGAGAGAAATCAGGCACTTACGAGTATAGTTCCAAGCCTCCGGAAAGCCGTTAACATTGGCCACAACGTCCTCGGTTCTGACAAAAAAGAAGTTAAACTAGAACTGACGATTGGCCTTGTCGTCCATCTTCCCCGCCAAGCATTTGCCTCCTCGGTGGCGAAGGTTCAACATTGTTCCCCTATAAAAACTAGGGGCGAATAGATGTATTAAGTGTCGCAGCGTCAATTCGACCCCGGCTAGCTCGGCAAACTTTGTGAGCATCTTTATAATTTTATAAATGTACGGCACGAGCTGAGCAAGACAAATGTCGTAGTGGTTACAGAACTCTTCCACCAGTGGAAGACGAGGGGAAGAATAGTCTACTTGGAAGGGGTAGGCGTAGAGGGAATAATACCCAGGACGGTGGACCTGTACTGTGTCCACTCCGGCCGGGATCAACTCGATATGATTGGGAAGGCCGAATATGGCCTTAAGCTCTGCTAATTCTTTTATCGTCACCACTGATCGAAAAGCTCCAGGCGCGGGCCTCTGGAGATTTGGTGAAATCGGACCTGGAGTTAGGGTCCCCACCGACAGGAAAGCGTCATCCTCAACATTGGCAGAAATGCTCTCCCCATGGGAGGGAAACACCACTGCCAAGGGAGCAACACGACTCTCCTCGCCAGCATCAGAAGATACGTTAGATATGAGTTGACGTAGTGAAGGAAAGTAACAAAAGAGAAGGTATGAAGAACAATATAGGTCACTGAAACAAAGAAGAAATCCGTAGAAGGGAGCAAGAGAAAGGTACGGTGTTTCAAAACGTTAGAGGGTTTAAACTCCAAAATCGGGATTGAGGATCTCTATTTATAAAAATCATGGCACCGAAACCGAAATAGTTCATCATGATTGGCGCCAGAACCGAAGCGATAAGTCTAATTAGAGGTCACACGCGAAACAAAACAACGCATCAGGAATATGCATCATAATGACGCATGGTATCATGATGTCATCCTAACCC